TTCTCCTCTGTACTATATTTTTTCTCTAACAAATATATCTCAACTTTTCTCTATCTAAATATTCTCTTTCAATTTCATTCAATATAATTTTTCTTTATCTTTTCAATTTCATTCAATATAATTTTTCTCTATCTTTTTTTTTTCTCTAACAAGTATATCTCGAACTTTTTTCCATCTAAATTCTTTTGTCACTATAATTTTTATTTTTCTCTAACATGTCTTTTGCTTTCAACTTTATACTCTTTCTCTAGAATTTTCTCTTTCTTATCTTTTAACTTTTATCTCACTAATTAATCTTCTCTCTGACTTTTCTTTTTCTTAAATCTTTTTATTTATCTCTCTAAAATTTCTTTTTATCTTTCAAAATTTTTATTTTCATGTCTCTACATTAATTAGGGAGGACAAAGATCTCATAAAGTTAGGTCTCCCATCCAAGATAACAGGGAAACATTTCCTACCATGTCTCGGCCTCATTCCCAATTGCATTTTTTAACAATCAATAGAGATGTTATTAACCAATTTACTAAAATATGAATAAATGTTAAATAGTTTTTAAAACTAATTATTTATACTAGTAAATAATGATTTTTTTCATAATTTATATATATATATATATATATATATATATATATTACTCACTTTATTTTTCAAATTCTAAAAAAAAAACTTAATTACTTGACCAATAATATTTTTCTCGAAGATCCCTGATTCCAAATGGGAATTTCTCGACTTTGACATTAATTCTCAGAATATAGGAGAATGATGTTGAGATGAGAACTAAAACTTTTCGCGAGGACAAGAACGGGAGAGTATCCCGACTCTCACCCTACCGTGTTGTTGTCATTTTTACTATGCATAAATTTTCTCTATCTAGCATATTTCTTCTCTTTAACTTTTTAAAAACAAAAAACAAAAAATGGTTAGAAACACGTTTGATTTTTATTTTTAAAAACAGAAAAAAAATAGAAAAATCAAAAACTAAAAACAAAAATCATCAGCCCTAAATAATCAAATTTATTAAATGCTCTAGAGAGTTAAATCTGGTTCCATAATTACTTTTTAACCCTATCATAAAGTAGTCCCAAACGGATCCTACATTTTTCAAAATGTTTATAAAACATATAGTAGCGGTAATTTTTATTTTGTTTTTGAAAGTTTAAACTAACCCCAAACGGCCCTGCTTTCAAATTTTTTTTAATACATGTTAGGTGGAGATTCGAACTCRCGACCTTTAAGTCGAAAACACATGCTTTAACYAGTTGAGTTCAAGTTGGCAAAACTTTTAGGTCCCGTTTGATAACAATTTCTGTTTTTTGTTTTTGGTTTTTGTGTTTTTAGTTTTTGGTTTTTAGTTTTTTGTTTTTAAAAAACTAAAACCATATATGTTTGATAACCATTTTTTGTTTTTTGTTTTTTGTTTTTAAAAAACAGAAAACCAGACATGTTTGGTAACTATTTTTAGTTTTCTGTTTTTGAAAAGTTTCAAAATTGAAAATACATATTAGASAGAGAAAATTATATGTAGGGTAGAGATAACAATGACGTGGGTGCGAGTGAGGATGCTCTCCCTCATTCTCGTGCTCGTGAAAATTTTTCATCCCCATCTCCACCTCGTTCTTCGGTCTGASAGATGTTCTGGAGTAAAATTATCGGATTTATAATTGTTTTTAATTATTYTTAGAATTTAAAAATAAAAAAGTGTAATAAATATATATTAATTATTTAAAAAATAGAATCGAAGACGGGGTCGAGACATGCATTTTATATTTTAGGGCTCAATCCTGCCGAAGTTTTTGTCACCCCGAGACATGAAAATACACGTTTAGAGATATGAAAATAAACTTTTAGAGAGATAAATAAAAAGATTTAGAAAAAAAATAGTGAAAAAAAGTTAAAGACACACAGAGAGAAAATCGAATAAGAAAAGAAGATATAATTTTCAGAGTAAAAAATAGATTATAAAGACAAAGAAAAGTTATAAAATATGAAATTTCAGAGAGAAAAAGATTTGAAAAATATTAAATTTTTAGATATAGAAATGAAAYTGATCTGTTAGGAAAAAAGAATAAAATATAAAAATACATCGACATGAAAATTGGAGAGACAGACAAATAATAATAAATCAAAATTAAAATCCTAAAGAAAGAAAATTAAATTTTATAGACAGAAATTTAGGTTTCAATTTTCCCCTTTACCCTATTACTTGACGAAGGGCAAAAATTGGTACCAAATACAAATGGGAAATTTTGTATAATTTAGTCTATTTTTAAAATTGGGCAAGTATTTTAATAGCATCTAAATAAATTTTAAATTATTATAAAACAAATAAAGTTTTAATAAAGCTTCCAACAAACATAAGGCAAATATAGGAAAACTATTTAAGATCTTTCTGCTTGATTCTTCACTGAAATTCTTAATTTAAGCAAGTGGAGGTTTAATTAGTTAATTAGATAAGAACTAACAACTTAATTGCTTAATGAACAAATTATCTTAAACCAAAGTGATGTATTAACCAAGTTGGTACCAAATAAATAAATAAATAAATATTCTTACTTCCAAAAATACATAAGGTCTTATTTGGCATCACTTTTGAGAAGGATTTTCCAACCTCTTTAATTTTTCCCAAACCAAAATTTTTCCTCCTAATCCAATCATGGATATTCAATCTCTCTCTCTCTCTTCAAAGGGTTTAGATTCTCTCCTTAGACATTGCTTGGGATGCACTACTTTCCAAGTTAGAGTCCAAATTAAGTAAAGAGAGAGAATAAAAGAAGAAAAAAGTGGAGAAACCACAACTAGAGGATTAATATTGGATGAATTTCTTAAAGAATTGGTGACTTGTTTTATAAGAGAGGTAAGAAAAGTCACATGCTCACAAGATATGCTAAGGATATGAAGGAAAGTCTAAAGATCATACATTTATATATAACTAACAACACTATTTTGAATGAAGTTTGGAACAAACTCGTATGTTAGATTTATCCCTAAATGTATTCCTTTTTAGATTATTATCRTGGAAACAACGGTTGAAGATTCAAACTTGACGGGGTTGATAAGGTTTAGTATGACATTATTGTAGGTAATAAACTAATTGATGTTGTTGTGGGTTAAAATTACCTATTAAGTTCATATGATTTGAAATTAAGGAAACGACATGGGTCGAACTATCTATATCAAATGGTCTAGGTGAGACTACTAAACTAGACCAGACCTGAGCCGACTGAACTTGGTCGATTYAGTCCACCCGAACCGGCCCAATRAGACCCCTTTTATAACTAAGAGGAGAGACCYGAGGTTCGAAGAATGCTCTCACAACTATACATTTTTCTATTCTCAATGAAACCCTTTGCTAATTTAGGCATCAAAGTGTGTTCTACTTAGCACCACACTAGGAGTGTAGTGTTCTTGTGTGTGCTGGTGTTCACGGGTTTTGGTTAGATCGGGTTAGGAGGGATTTTGGGACCAACCCGAATTTTCGGATTGGCCATATAGAGGAACCATAGAGTTTGAATTGGATGGTCAACCCAACCCAAAGTTTTTTTTTTTAATTTTAAATTTTTAATTATCACAGCGGCGACATGRAGTTTGGATTAAAACTAAATAGACGGCTGAGATTAAGATACAAAATAGAAGAAGATAATATGAAAACCTTAAATGAAATATTAGGATTAAAACTAAATGTACGGTTGACATTGAGGAGAAACATATATATAATTAAAAAAATACACATATATGCATAAATTTAGGTTGGGTTCGGTTGATCTGATTTTCTAATGGTTGAACCTGAGACCCAACCCAACCTGATCAGGTTGGGAAAATCACAACCCAACCCAATCCTAGGCTTCATCTAACCTAACCCAACCCTCACGATTTGTGTTGGGTTCATCGGGTTGTCGGGTTTTTTCAACACCCCTAATGAAATCTGTATAGAAATATTAGTAATATATATTAAACAATTATTCTATTGGTGAGAGGTTTGATTTAATTAAATTTTTAGGTGAGATAAAAAAATTAGGGAATGTTTCTCATCGTTATATATAATAAGTCTAGGGTTGATAAGACGGAGGGGTTTTTATTATTATTATTATTATTATTTTAATTTTTATAATGCAAGAGAATGATGCCTAGCAAATGTGAGTTTTATAATCCTAAACTTAATAATATAGCAACAAAATTTGTAAACTCACCTTATCAAACATAGGAGCAGTTTGTTAAAAAAAAAAAAAACCTAACTCATAAGTCAAACTGGCTCTAAAACTAACGCATACCAAGTTAAGTCTAATAGTGTATTTTGGATGACTTTCAATTTTTTTAATAATAAAACTATTTTTTGAAAAAGTTATTAATTTATAGTGTGTTTATTATAGTTTCCTAAGAGATTTCAAATAATTAAAAGATTTTTTTTCTAAAAACTCTTCAGTAAAAAAATATTTTCAAAATTTGGATTTGTTTAATGATATTCATTTATGAAGAAATATTTGAGAAATAATTAGAAAAAAGAAGTGAAAAGAATGCTTAAATTGAAATATATACCAAACTCACCTTAAAAGATGATAAAATATATAAGAGATATGAAATAAGAAAAAAACATCCAACTAACCAAAAAGAAAACTCGACTACCTTTCTAGGCCACATATATAAGGAACAAGAATCTAGAGACAATTGAGATGGATTAAACTTAGATATCCAACTAACCATATTTACAAAAAGTTAGATCCAAAAGTTGAGTTTGTTATTTAGGCAATGAAGTAGAAAGCATACTAATGCAACACTTTTACGTCCAAACATACCCATCAAGTGGAATTAACAAACCCTAAATGTTTAGGTTATATATAATTTTCCTTTTTCTTCTTTATTTCTTTCTTTTTGTTTTTGTTTTTTTGGTACCAAACCCACTTTACTTGTTATTTGTATACGTAAGAATGATTGTAGCTTTATTTCAAAGCCACTGCCACAACACCCCATTATAACATAAACCAAATGCCTTTATTTTTTCCTCAAAACCCCAAATTCTTTCTTCTGAATGAAAGAAGAAAAATGAGAAGAAAAATGGAGAGGCTCGTTCTTCTTCCTTTCTCTGTGGGCTGTATCTCCGAATCAAGTGTTGCTGTGGGAATTCAACAGACTGCAACATCCAAATTGCCAAGATCAAGTCTTTCTCTCTCCTCTCTCTTGGCAACCCGTCCCATTTGATAAACTATTTCGTTTTTTATATTCTATTTCACATACGTGTTACTTTAATTGTTTTTTGTTTCTACTTTTCACAACGTTTTCAAAAATCAAATTCAAAACTTGGAAAGCAAAGCAGAAGGTGGTTTTTTTCTCTGTTTGTTTTGTTTAAGAAAGTTGGAGAAGGCATTTAAGAAACTACGAGGGAGCAATAACATGTTATTTTCCGAAATAGAAAACTAAAAACAAAATGGTTATCGACCTACGACCTCATGCTTACGTAGCGTTTTTGTTTTTTTTTTTTTTTCTTTTGAAGGGGGCGAGAAAGTTGAGGATGGAGAAGAAGGAGAAGGAACTCTTTTAGAGGAAAGTTTGAAGAACTCGCAAAAGTTCTCAGCACTTGCAAAGCCTAATATAGCAGTTGGCTTTCATAGGCTTTACAGAGGTTTCAAGAACATCTCTCAATTATTTGGTGAGCCAAATCATTTAATTTATTGTCTGTTTTTTTCTTATTTCTCTATTTTCCACTTTTTAGGAAAGAAAAGAAATTCGCTTTTGATAATTATTTTTTCTCTCTCCCTTTTTTGTAAAAAATAAATAGAAATACACTTGACAACTATATCTATTTTTTTTTCTTCTCTGAAATTTTAAATTAAGAAAGATAATGAAATTTCAAAAATTATTCTTAAAAATAAAATATTTAAAACTATCAAAATATTTATTATTATTATTTAGTTTGAATCTTATATTACTGTCTCTATTTTCATTCGTATTCTATTTAGTCTCCAACTTCCGTTCCTATTTTACTTTGGTCATCAAACCTCAAACCTTTTTTTTTTAATTTACAGATCAAACAAATCTATTAAGGATTAAAATATAATATTTGAAAGTTTAAAGATTAAATATTTGAAAATTTAGGAAACAAAATAGTTATGGGACCAAAATAATATAAACCTATTCTTTTTTTTAATAAATTATTGTACATTCTATAAGTAAAAATGATAAAATAATGAAAAAGATTTAATATTTTTAAAAATATATTCTGGAAACAGAACATAAAGAGACATAAGAAACCAATTTTTCCTCTTCTAAAATTTAGCTAAAAGTTTTTTAAAAGGGAAACGAGTTAGTAAATTAGAAATAAATATTTTTAAAATAAACATAATAATATATAATATAGGTGTCTCCAAATGGTGCCTTTTAGTTTTTAAAATTTTGTCTAGTAAGTTACAAAACAAAGAAATATATGGGTAAATAGGTATGATTTTATTTTTCAAAGGAAAATAGGCGTATGGTTATTTCTAAAAGAAAATGTCATTATTAAATTACTCTTTAAGGAAGTAATTTAACAAAATCTATTTCTCATTTTAAAATTTGACAAACTAAGATTTGTTTTTTAAAGTGAAAAAAAAATAACACAAGCAAAATCTTTATCAAAATATAAAAACCCTAAATATGTATATATATTACCTCTCAATTTACAAATCATTTTCACCTCGAGAAGGAATTGATATTTATGTTAAAGGCTAAATACATGAGGTTTTTTTTCCCAATTTAATTAGTCCCTATTGTTGAAAAAAATTCAATATCTAACCTCTTATATTTTAACATTTTTTCAACTATATTCTTTATATTATTTGGTTGATGATAAGCTTATATGACATGATACTGAGTTGACATAAATTTAAAAAAAGAATTAAACCACTCAAGAGAAGAAAAAAAAAAGTCAAGAATTCCCTAAAATTTGCGGGGAGAATTATAAACTTTTCTCTCCTTGCTTGCCTACTTTCTCCTCCAAATTTCTACCAATTCACTAAGTATCATAAGTTTCCCTGATTAGTCAATTTTGACATTTACTAGCAGAGAAAACATAAGAGACCGAATTGAAACTTTTTTAAGAAAAATATATATATGTTACACCTGTATTATTAATTAAATGCAAGCCCTAATTTTTTTGTCATGATTTTTTTTTGGAAAGTGTACAAAGAGGAGATGGAAGAAATGGAGATGATGGATATGGAAATAGGGTCCCCCACAGATGTGAAGCATGTGACACACATAGGCTGTGATATTGCCTCCACAATAGATGATGATAATCATAATGCCAATAATAACCCTTTCATTGCTAATTGGGAAACTCTTCTAACTTGGACCCAATTTGATGATCATCAACTTTCAAACCCATTGCCTAATGTTGTACATCATTCCATTTGAATAATATTTTCTCAACTCTCTCTCTATATTCATCACTACTTTTGTGCAAAACAAAAAGGAAAAAAAAAGTATGGTTAATTAATTGCTGTTGATTTGATGATGTACTTTGATGTGGTATTGATCATATGGGTTTATATATATATTTATATGCCTACAACAATCATATGATTTATTTTAATCCTCACATTCATTCAATTACTTTCTTAATTGTTGTAGGGTTGTGTTTAGGATGTGTTTGAATAGCTATTTTGATTTCTTTTTATCTCTCCTAAATATTGGTTTATTATTATTATTTTTGTTTTGAGAAACTCTAAATATTGGTTTATTAATGTGATGTTGGAGCGAAATTAGGAATATAATATATGGGTGAATCAACGTCACATTAAAATGGCCAAAGCTAGCATAGCTCAATGGTAATTGGCATGTATCTCCAATCAAGACGTTGTGAATTCGATCTCCTACTCCTACATGTTGTACTAAAAAAACGTCACATTAAAATGAGAATTATTGAAACTGTGCAAGTGTTGGACAATATAGTTTGTTAAGGTCGCTGACTCCTGAGCAATAACAAAAAAAAAAAAAATTATACATATTTTTCCTTTTCCATATCATTCACTAGAAAGTTATATTTAAATAGATTTGGCTAGCAATTTCAGATAATGTAGAAATTTCTAGTAAAAGCATATGTCACTGAGGGATAAAATGCTGGATATTAATGCGTGAAAAAAAAAAGTAGAATCTAGAGATATTGAGAACAGTCTAGTATACAAATTTAACTCTGAAAATTAAATTCGTATCTTTTTTTTTTTATATTCTCGACTAATCTCAATTGGCACTGCTAAAGAAACATATAGGAAATTAATTCTTAAGTAGTTAGGTTGGTCATCATGGGGTTTGAATTCATTTAATTCCCTATAAATCTTTTTGATTTACCTTGACTCATTTGACGGATTTTTTTTAATAATGCTATTTTTGAAACTTATTACAAATATATGCCACTACCCAAACTATTTTCAACAATAATGCTTGTAAATAGTTGGTCATCTCTTGAAGAGACGACCTATGAAGTGGCCATTCACAAGTCGTCTCTCTGCAGACGTAGCGCCAATCAAGCACCGCGTCTGATTTTTTTAAAAAAAATCAAAACAAGGTCTTCTCTTCAGAGAAGACCAAGTTGGCAGACATTTATTGTCATCTCTTAAAGAGACGACAACGCTACTTTTTTTTTAAACAAAATCTATTTAAGTAGTTTATATATATAACATCGTGCAACAAAATAAAACCAGTGGTGCATCTCTCTCATAACATAATACTTTATTCTAAAATGTTTGGTCATTTCATGGAAAACTGGATTCGACGTTGAAATCCGTTAAAGTTCGCCTCATTAAGTTGATGATAGACCTGCTCTTGAAAGGTGAGAGGCTTTCATAAAGACGTATTGAGGGAGGCTTATTGCACGATACACCAAACTCAACTAAGCTAATAAATGCTGCATAAAAGAAGAGTGGGAGGTCAACCTCTGCCCATCCAGAGGTGCACACCCATTTAGAAAGATAACAAAATAGGTAAAATCGAGAACTACCAAATCTAAGTCATTGGATTTGTTTGTACCATTCTGTCATTCATCACTGCTCGGTTAGTTGGTGAGTCACCCAATTAAGGTCAATCATATATATTTTATGAAATGATCAATAGTCTCACTTATGCTATGCCCTTCACAAAACTTTGCTTGAATCAATTTTTAGCCGTCTAAGCTAAGAGATGTGTCTTTGTTTAAGGGGGCAAAGCAGGCCACGAATCATTAACTCAATCAAAACTTACTCTATTGCACTTATGGGGTTATGTGGCGCCATTATCCTTTTCTTTGGAACAATCGAGGGCACAACCTCCATTCCGATTTCAGTGGTAGGGACTAAATCAATCATCACTCAGTGAGCTAGCTTAAGAACTAAACTCAAACGATTGTGCCTACTAATCAAGACAGGAAGGTGGGACGCTATCCCGCCTCTTGACCGAAGCGCCAACCCATCTCACACCCCCCTTCTCTAATACGCATATTGAGCGTTCTTTGCTTACACCAGAAGAATCGAAAACTCACTCTCTTCTTTCTTCTTTTTTAGAACCATTGAAGTCCTTGAAGACATAATAACAACTATGTTATGGAACTTGCTCCTCTACAACTACCTTTTGCCCAACATGATCATGATCAAATATAGAGAATTGCATAGATAGAAGGATGAAAGGAACTAACCCAGTTGTCTTGATTGGAATGATTAAAGAAAGAAAGAGGTTGGTGGCCCCTTTTGCCCAAGGGCATATGGGTGTGCCAGATTAGAACAATTTGGGGAGGAGAGAGGCTCAAATGGGTATTATGGGTACAGTTGGCAAAGATGAGAGCAGTGGGGAGGAAAACATGGTCAAATTTTGTCTTGTCGATGAAGAAATGGGCTGGGATGAATTTTGTGAGGGTGGAAGATGGTAGGCCGAAGGAGAGAATGAAATGGGCTATTGTATAATTAAGTGTGAGAAAGCCATTAGGCCTGTTGAGGGCTGAGATAAAATTTGGGACAACTAGGGAATGACTATATTAAACAAAAATAGCCAAAAGTATACAATATCATAAAAATTGCTACAAAGTAGTTACGGTTCAATGCTAGAATTTTATGTGGACAAATATACCCTCCCACCAAAATAGCTAAAATTATCCTATAATTACCCTAAAATTTTATCGCAAAAATACCATTGAAACAATTTTTTGCTACAGCTTAGGAAATATTATTGAATCAAATTTTTTAAGTTTAAAATTTCAAAAATAAAATCTAAATTTAAAAATTTAAAAAAATAAAAGCTGTTAAATGAATACCTTGAAATAAAAAAAATTAAGATGCAGAATAATATGAAAAATGACCTAACAAAATGTAAAATCAATACAGAAAAGTGAAAAACGAGTAGAAAAAAATATGATTGAAAAATCAAATATTGTTTTTAAAAAATATGGAGGGGTAGCTACGTTAGGAGAAATATATAGGATAAATACGCTTATAGACAGAATAAAGATAGAGTAAATAGAGAAACACGTGATACCTGAATTTTTCTCAATCAACCTGATTGCAAAAGACGGTATGAGAGCATACGACTGTTTAGATGACCCACTTAATAAGTTTAAAGCCTTCTCTCTTCCTCTCCAGGCCTTGCCATAACTAATATTGATTCTCTAATATTTTCAAATTATAGTATCTCTGTTGAGTTTACAATAACTATCACTCTCTTATGCTTTTTCTATTTTTCGAAGAACAGATGCTGGTGCATCTAGAATGGGTGTATGCTCTCCATTACAGAGTCTCTATAAAGTTTGTGAATGTGCGTCTGCATGACTTGAGTGACATTCACATTTTCACTTCCTCTGTATGTGGAACTATCTATGGGGTCTGTATGCACAAAGTTACTGACCATGTAATTCGATACAAAAGTAGGGCTCACACCACTTCGATTGCTAAAATGTCCTCTGAAATTTGCATTTTGACGACCAAAAATAGTCATTCACACTTTCACTTCCTCTGTATCTGGCCATCTACGAGGTCTATAGGCACAAAGTTACCATAGGGTCCAACCACTTCGATTGTTAAAATGTTCTATGACCAAAAATAGCCATTTACACTTTAACTTTTTTTGTACGTGGAACTATCTACAGAGTCTATATACACAAAGTTACTTAATTCGGCAAAAGTAGGGCCCACACCACTCCAATTGCTAAAATGTCCTTTGAAATTTGTATTTTCATGACTAAAAATAGCCATAACAATAGGAATCAGATCATAAGTAGATTTTCATTTAAAAAAGAGTGGACTGCAGATAGCCTAGAAATTGGAGATCATTGGTACACTATTTGTCTTTTACATGGTGGTCAATGCTATTATTAATTGGCGTTACGTCGTGGTTGGAAGAAGGACGGATCCACACTCGATGTTATCCTCAGCTCATGCTCATACACCGCCATCAGATTCACTCCCATGTAGCACTTTGTAACTCCTAGTAAGGCCAAAATCGCCTTACTCAACGTCAATTAGCACTACAAGAAACGGAGCTTTCAGAGACACATTTTTAACGACGTATAAGCAATAATGTCCCTAAAACATAATTTCAGCAACATTGTCTGATGACAATGTCGCTGAATAATGTTTTCAGCGACGCGAAGACTAAAATGTCGCTGAAAGTAAGTAGATGTCGCTGAAATTACATTTTCAGCGACATCATCTTGACGATGTCGCTGAAAGTGCCTTTTCAGCGACGCCGTCAAGCAGATGTCGCTGAAAATGTACTTTCAGTGACGCCGTAAGTTGACGGCGTCGCTGAAGGTATTTTCAGCGACACATAAGTTGTATGTGTCGCTGAAAATCCCAGAATTTACAAACCCAATTCGCGATTTTACAAACCCTCGCCCCCAATTCGCGATTTTTCTTCTCCCCTCCGTCGCCCGCCGCAAATTTCTTCTCCCCTCCCCTCCGGTCGCCACTGTCCGTCGTCGCTGTTCGTCGCTGCCTTCCGTCGCCGCCCTCCGTCGCCGTCCCAATATTTCTTCTCCCCTCCCTTTCATCGCCGCAGTCCGTCGCCGCCTTCTTGGGATTCCGGATCGAGTGGCGAGGAACCCACTTCTTGGGAAGACCTTTGCAGCATCAATTTGACGCCCTCGGAATTGTTTTTGAAGTTCCGCAAAGAGTTGCAGGGCTTTCGAGTTGGTATCAAT